ATCCCACATGCCGCGGAGCGGCTGGGCCCGTGAGCCATGGCCACTGAGCCTGCGCGTCCGGAGCCTGTGCTCCGCAGATGGGAGAGGCCACAACGGTGAGAGGCCCGCATAACGCAAGGAAAAAAAAAAAAAGAAATGATAAAATTTAGAGCACTGAGTTGTTGCACAGGAAACAGATCTGGAATTCTTACTCTATTGCTGAGTGTGTAGCATGCTGTGTTCATATAGCCATATAAGGCAGGGAGCTCCATGTGATGACCTGCATACATGTGACACACACGCAGGATCATTCCATTGTACTTGTGAAGGGAGCGATTTAGTTCTACATCCATAAGCACATACAGTTCTGTTTGGGAACAGGCATCTCCTTAGTGCTGTTATAACTGATAATTTTATGACAGGCCCATTATCTATGCCTTCACGGTAACCAATACTCTTTTTTTTTTTTTAAGTGAAAATTTTTCGGTATGCAAAATTTCTCTCCGATTCTTGTTCTTACTTTAATGATAAGACTTCACCATGGAAAAAATCAGACAAGTATTTCTGATCCCACATTTGTATGAAAGTCCCCAATTGCTGTGTATGAATCTAATGCCTTCTGTGGAGAGCACGTGACAGTGTGGTTTATGTCCGTGTAGAAAAGTCTCAAATACTGAACATAAATAAGTCATTACAGTACAGGTAAGTCACCACATGTCCTATGGGAAAGTTTTCCAACAAATTAATACTCTTGGAAATAATATTGCTTTGAAGAAAGAGAGGCACTTAGTGATTGTCTTCATGGATTGAAAACCCTTCATAAATCCATAATAAGATGTCTGAAAAGACCTAGGAAACAATGTTGCCTGATTTCTTGGACTTTCACAGTATCAAGATTGTAACAACGAGTTTAGCCACTTACAAAATAGTCTTTTATTTTTCCTCCTTCAGAACTCTGCTGTCTTTGTAAACTGTCACCCTGGAGACTTAAATAAAGCCTTTCCATTCTCAACAAACCCAAGTCTACTTCAAGCAGACAGATATGGTTTTAGGCAAGTCCTGTGACCACATGGAGCACAGCTAATGTGTACATAAGGACAGTGATGTATTTCTCCTCCTCATGGCAACAGTGCTGTCTTGTCAGATGATTATTTATCTTTTTTAAATAAAGTGACAATCTAGGGCTCCAGTTATTGAATGCCGTCCATTCTCTACCATAAATCTCTAGCAGATATCGATTTAATCAGTTATGTACGGTATGCTTATAATATCTAAAAATAAAAGTTTGATATAAATAAGTGTCCTTTAGTGGCAGTATACTAAAAATAGCCCTTTGCCTTCAGACAACCATTAAAAACATTTTAGCAATAAAGGCAGCAGCTAAATATGATGACTGCAAAGGGTTAATATTGCAAAGTCCATTTGGTGTTTCTTTGCTCGCACCTGTTACAGTGAACTAGGTTCATTGCTAAGTGTTTCTAGGATGCTGACATACATGAACAGAACTGGTCCATAACCAAGTGGAGTCACTTACATTTCCCAAAGTCACAGACTGTTCTGCACAAAAACTAATAATCCAGTACTACTATATCAAATAAAATTTTAACGCAGTCTGATTTGTACCAATACGTCAGGTGACAAAAATGAAAGAGAGATAATTTCCACAGGACAAGAAGTAAGAAAGTGTAAAGTGCTGAAAGACCTCAATAATTATTTTAAAGCAGTACCAGAAAAATCCCACTTTGATTATTTTTTTTTTTAAATCCCCAAATACCAAAACAAAATAAGCAAACAAACAAAATAACTTCTGTGTTTTCTGGCATCCCAGATGTCAACTCAGCCTTCATGTTAAGTAAAAAAATCAGTGCATATGTTATTATATAGGTAAATAAAAACAGGAAATAAAGCCCTACCCTCATATTGCAAATTCTGTCCAATTGCCGTTAGGAAAAAAAAAGTAATCCTCATGTGGCATTCTGTATGATGACATAAGAACATCATCATCTCTCTCTTCGGCACAAAGTTCAGGTGCGAATAAGATGCTTTGGTCCTGATACCAGACACCCGAGTGCTGAGGATGGTGTGCAGTGAAGGCTGTTCACAGATCTCCTGCGTCCGACTTGACAGAGTTGGCGGGCGCGTGCCTGGACGGTACCGCTACCAGCGGCCACTGACACTAGCAATGTCTGAGTGATACTGACGGGGTAGCCTCCCACTTGCTCCGCCTTCCAGGAAAGAGGTGCGTGTATTTGGCGGTTCAAAAAGCTTTCTTCGGTTTTTATTTAGCTCTAGGGAGAGAGAGAGAGAGAGAATCAGCACATGGCAGTAGAGCTCAGCTCAGAAAATGGTCATGTGGTAGGTTTTGGGGGGAAAGTCAAGTAGGTAGCAAAAGGAAAACCTTTAAGTTAACCATCAAGACGTTTTTGAAATGCTAGAAAGTCTGATACGAAAGGTAACCATTTGTAGCTGAGAGAACCAAGGACAGCAAATCATTTTTACTGCAGTTCGTAAAGTATCTGGGGAATGTGTCATCCTCAGAACACTCTCAAGTCCAAATATACAAAATAGTTTCACCGATCCCAAATGTCATTTCAGAGGCAAAGGGAGAGGCACCATCAAAGCTGGTGAAAGGCATATGAGAGGATGTATTACCAGTGATACAGAAAATTATTATAGCTCATTAAACTCATCCATGTCAAACACAGTGATCGTTAAATTATTTAAGTCGACATGAAAAGAGGATCCCACTTCTAAACACCAGAATACTGGAGAAGCACACTGATCTGTTAATCCACAGCCCCAGGTACGAGGGAGACGCGAGAGGGAAGAGATACGGGGACATATGTATATGTATAGCTGACTCATTTTGTTATAAAGCAGAAACTAACACAACATTGTAAAGCAATTAATTATACTCCAATAAAGATGATAAAAAAAAATCCACAGCCCCACAGCCACTCATGATGACTACACTCCTTGAGTCAGAAAGGGTTATATGAAGAAGCATATCGCATCAGCAGGAGGTTTCTCTGAATAAAGAATCAACTTAGTAAACATAGCAACAGTTAAGGAAATTGATACAGTTGAAAACAAGCAATACGTGAATCCAAATTTTCAGGGAAAAACAAAGATCCTCGATTTTCATTTTAAACAAACCAGAGTACTGGTTGTTTAGTTTATGTCTTTTCCCAACTAAAAATTATTAACCAGAAAGGTGAAAAATGGAAGCAGCCTACCTTGTTTATGACTGCAATACCCATCCTCCCCTCCATACACACATTCACAAATTCTCAAGTCAACTGATGTAATTATTACTAACGAACTCATACAAGTAAATAGAATTGTCAGACTCTAAAAAGCAGCGTTTCTGATAGCCACCAAATGCAAATACAGTTGACCTTTGAATAGCGCGGATTTGAACTGAGTGGCTCTACTTATACATGGATGTTTTTCAATAGTAAATACTATAGTATTAAACAGTTGGTGGAATCTGCAGATGCAGAGGAACTGTGGATACAAAGGGTGACTATAAGTTACATGGGGATTAACTCCTGTGTGGTTCAAGGGTCAACTGTATCTTCAAACTTATTCAATCTCAAGTAGACGGAATATATAGTTGATGTGTTCAAAGCTGTTGTCTTTTTCTCTGGGAGGGTAGTGAAGCAAGTGATTCAGCACCTTTAATTATCTGCATGGAACTCAGGACTTTTTCAACCATACACACACACAACCCCATTCTGAGCTCTGAGATTACACAGCAAGCTATGGCCTGCTACAGTAATGCTGAGGATGAGAACAGAGGCTCAGGCAGGTTGCAGTGGGTCATAGGTGGCCAGGGACAGCCATATGGCCAGATGTACTCCTGTCTCCCAAGTGCTAGAAGCGGGATCAATACCCTTAACATTTTACCCCACTGCTTTCCAAAATGTAACTGTCTGCCCTATAGGGGTGACACATGAGTGAAGACACCTCTTTTCTGTTCACATTTAAGTCTTAGGGGAGAAGAGAACCAACAGTAATTTATTAGAGCCTATTATACGACAAGCACTTTACATTCGTTGTGTCCTATTTAAGTCCTCCTTAAGGGGTAGATAATATTACCATCCTCCAGTTTATAGATAAGGAACCTGAGTTTTAAAAATAGACGAAGTAACTTGCCCACATGCCTGTTAAGTAGATAAGGAACCTGAGTTTTAAAAATAGACGAAGCAACTTGCCCACATGCCTGTTAAGTAGATAAGGAACCTGAGTTTTAAAAATAGACGAAGTAACTTGCCCACATGCCTGTTAAGTGACAGAGTTGAAACCCCGCCTGCCTGATGCAAAGGTCTATGCTATGGGCTTCAGTGGTCCATCCATTGGGCGGAGATCAACCGAGGTATCAGGAATACAAATTTGAGAAATTGGTAGTTTCAGGTATGTAGATAACAGAGCTTTCCTTCATATTTTACATGGATATCAAATTTACTTTTTAAATAGATAAAGCTTAGAAACTCTGAAGAAGCAAGGAAGATATTACAAGCAAAAGACACATGCAGGCATGCGTACAGATGGCTATTGTTTCAAGTTCCTGAAGAAACGCAGTAGCAATGACATTCCTATCACGTGTATCTTGTTTAAAAAACAAACACATAAAGTTCAGAGATCAAGACAGAATTGAATATATTTAAAGGCAAACTTATAGGAGAGTTGAGAATAAATGAATCCCCTTAAACACAGCCTGGGAAAGTTTTATCACCTTCAAATGAGGAGACTTTCTTTGGCCTCCGTTTTCTCATGGGGAAGTAACCCATGAATCAGGAGGACATTCCCACACTATAGAGAAGGAAAAGGAAGGAGTAGGTCAAACACCATTCTCCATGAGCACATGAAAACAGTCAGGCCACTGAAGACAAAAATTTTTAACGGACATTGAAAACTTCATTCTGAAAAGTCACATGAGCTAGATTTTTGAGAGGACAAATGATCATGAAGAAATTCAGCCACTCCCTAAAGATGTAATTTCTAAGAGTACATATATAGAGATATTCCAAGTGTGAAGCACAGAGATAAGTCTTTAAGATTACCAAGGATCAAGTCCTACTGAAGAGACTTTAGTTCTTGTTGTTGTTTTTTAAATTAGAAAGCAAACTCCCTCTTCTGATTTTTTTCAGTAAGCCTAAGGGATAGTTTGAGAAAATACCAACCTTTTTCTTTGAAATTCCAAGGTTCACACAATCCTGGCAGCTCTCAGGATCTTGTTGCGGATCTGAACAGAGTCACAAACTAAAAGAATAGGTCAGGAAATGTTAGATCTACCTGAGGCTGTGGTGGAAAGCCTGTCAACAGGATGCTAAACTTCCTTTCACTGAGTCCCTGTACATTTAGTTAACCAATCACTAAAATACTCAGAGAGAAATCCATGAATTTTCAAAAAATCGTGGATTTGAAAAAAAGATGAAATTTTTTCTCTGATTGATTCATTCCTATCAGAGAGAAATCTCATCTCCTCCTATAACATTAACATAAATGTCTTCTGGCCCAAGATTAAAAGCAAACCAAAACCTTATACTGAAAGAACAACTCCGATTTTAAGTTAAAAATGACAAAATTTTAAAAAGTAGTTTGAGCAAACTCTGTATCTAACCAAACTATGTAACCACAAGACAAACCTAAGTCAAGGCTGACCTGATATCCTGCCTCTATCTGGAAATGAAGTATTCTGAGACTTTAAATGAATGTCTTTGTTATCAGAGGAATCGAACTGGAAAAAGAAGCTTTTTGATGAAGGGTTTCTCAATAAAAACTTACTCCTTGCAGAGAAAATGATTTACCAAGTTCAAACAAATGCACTTCAACAAAGTAAGGCAAAATCATCCTTAAATAATCAAATACTTCCCACTGTACAGAGCATTCATAAGGCATCTTATTCAAAGTCTCTAATTCCCTTTAAAAGCAAGAGGACCTGTGAACCTCACTGAGAGAGGCAGTCTATAGAAATAAGATATAACCTCAAAAGAACACACTGAAGATGATGATTGGAGAAAACATTCTTTTAAACGAGGACTCAAAACCCCTCCTGTTTTTGCACTCTACTCCCCAAAACCCACCTAGGATATATCACCAATGTATCCCAGAGTAAAAGTACTGAAGATCCACTTGGAATCTATGAAAATATTTAGAGATATTTGCTTGTTGCTGGAAGCTTTAGAGAGTTTGGAATTGGGTTGACACACAAAGAAAAGACTTAATTTTTCATTGTACTGTCACGCATATTCCACAAATCTCTAGTGAAAGATTATGGAGTTCTGAAACATACACTTCTGTGGTATAAATGTGTGGCCCCATAGACATATTTTAACAGTACAGGCATGGGATTGAGTTAATAAAATTTCAAGTAGTATATCAATTCCATTTTCAAATTAATAAAATAATGTAAAAATATATAAAGTTAATTTGGATACAGAAGTAACCCTCTGAGACTGAGCTTTAGGGTAAAGAAGTTGAAAACTATCCTATTGCCACAGATTGTTAAAAAAAAAAAAAAAGAAAGAAAGAAAGAACAATAATAATACATACCATTAAAACTGTAGGTTATTTTCACTGTGCCTGATGATATACCACATGGAAGGACAGATTTTAGAAATGGAAGGTGACCTTACACAATCATCTACTCCAGTCCACCTTCACAGTTAAGAAACCACAACCAAAAGAGGTTTGGAAACTCACCCAAGGGTACATGACTTGGAGAGGCAAATCTCAGATCTCCTTATGTGAATATAGTGTTCTTTCCACTATAACCAAGCTGATCTGATGAGTGAACAGGAAGCAGTGGCTGCCCTGTGGAGCACCATCAGTGCAGCCGCTTGGGTATATAGGGTGGAGGAAGACTTCTCAAACTGATGTGTGCAGGACTCTAACCATACAGAAAGAAGCCTAATGGGCTGCTCGATGGCTGAATTTCTGCACCTATTTCAAGGCTACTCTGCTTTTATCTGCTTCAGATATATACGATTTCCTGTGGGGAGGTGGGCGGTGCTAATCAGCTGCTATAAAATAAGGCAAGAGCAATCTGCTGCTGAAAGAAAACGGAAAACCACTGAGGCTTTTAGTTTGATGGTTCAATTAGCGAATGCTGTTTAGAAAGGGCTTTCGCCAGTTGGATGCCACTGCTGGCCTCATAAAAGCATAGCCTACAAATTCAGTGTTTTGAAAATCAACGTCATTTTCTCACCACACCTGACGTTTGGCTCTGTCTTTCTGAGAGACTGGCACACATATAAAATTGTCATTCATGAACTTGATCAGAAAGACTTCAAAAAGTAACCTCATTTTTCTGCCCCCCCATTCCTTCCTCATATTTCTCTAAACACCTTTTTGAGGTACATTGTTATGTATTTGCCAACTCATCATCTCCCACTCCTTCAACGTGGGAGGTACCTAGTAAATACGTATAGAGCATTTTCTTATACATAGAACATGCAAAAGATGCACAAAGGTGGTGGTCTGGGAGACAGACCTTCAGACTTTCCTTCATTCTGTGACTACTTTTACGATACTACCCTCTTCTGTGACTCACAAATTCTATTAAAACTTGGGGTAGGGCTTCCCTGGTGGTGCAGTGGTTGAGAGT